TGGGACGTCACAGAATACAATAATCGTTAACAAACCGCCGTGCCCGACAACGTTAAATGGAGAACGGCAATGGGATCATCAGTAACGGGCACGCGCACGGTTTCTGCGTGGAGCAGAAGCGCCGGGCGTCGTCGTCGCACGACCCGTTGAACTGGAACGCGGCGGCGGAGGCCCTGAAGGGCAGCCACCTGGACGAGGTGAAGAGAATGGTGGAGGAGTACAGGAAGGCGACGGTGAAGCTAGGAGGCGAGACGCTGACGATAGCTCAGGTGGCGGCCGTAGCCGCCCAAGGAGGGACGCCGGAGGTGAAGGTGGAGCTGTCGGAGGCGGCCCGCGCCGGCGTCAAGGCCAGCAGCGACTGGGTGATGGCCGGAATGGAGAATGGCACCGATAGCTACGGCGTCACCACCGGGTTTGGTGCAACCTCTCATCGACGGACAAAGCAAGGCGCTGCTCTTCAGAAAGAACTTATTAGGTATATTAATTAATCTTTATTTTTTTTTTAAATTAAACGTTTCATTTTTCTTTTCTTTTCTTTTTTACTTAACCACTACATATATACTTTTATTATTATTTTATTTTATTAGTTTTAAGTTTTGTGAGGGAGGGGATGGGTATTAGGTTGTGGTAGGTGAAAGCCTTTTAGATTTTTAGATATTGTCCCAACTCCCAAATGATAGGTTGGTGTGAGTTGCCAAACTTAAAAAGTGGAGAAAGCTGCATTTAACCTATATATACATATATAATAAAATGATAGATACTATAAATTATTAAATACTCCCTCCGTCTCATTTTGTTTGTCTGGTTCGTTTAACGAGGCTTGACTGAAGCTATTTTTACTTCATTTTTTCATAATATTAAATTTATTTTTAGTATATAAAATTTATATATTTAGAAACTACATTAAAAGTACTATTAAACATAAAAAATCAAATTTAAAAATAATTAAAAATTACTAAAGAAAATAAGCAATGAAGAAAGAGTTGGATTGACCAATAAATAGTAAACAGGACATGCAAAATGGGACAGAGGGAGTATCATTTTTTAATTAAATAGACTAAACAATTTAAGCAAATTCTAGTCCAACTAGATTCAGTAATTTCAACTAAGTTGATTGTTGGTATTAAGTTTAAATTAATTAATTATAAGTCTAGATTGATTTACCTTGGCGGTTCTGTTACACGGCGCTAACGTTATTATCTAAAACGGACCAGAGATAGTCACGGGAGAAAATAGTCTGAGGAATTAGGATCAGAGAATCAGACGCAGGGGACAGCTTAGGTTTTTTAGCAGTGTTGTTTGGTTATGGGGAATGGGAAAACGACAAGATTAGAGGAGCATGAAAGCCTGAAAGGCCACTAGTTCTCATGATGGAGTTGCCACGTGATAGTTTCATATGATTGTTCTAAGATTTTCCCCCGTATAATATACGGAGTATTATATTATATATTTATATATGTGTAAGTGGATTAGACAAGTAGTTTGGTTTGATTTTTAGTATTGATGCGATATAAGACATTTAAAGTTATGATATTCATACTATTCAGAAAATACAATACATCATACACAACAAGAGAGTTTATCGCACTTGGTCCCACAATTCTAATAACACTATCAGGTTTGATCCACAACTTTCAAACATTGCAATCTCGGTCTATGACTATGGTTTTTTGTTACAAAAATGGTCATTCCGGCCTGTTTTTACTAGAAATGGTTCTAACTCTGATGAAAAATTAACGAAAAATTAGTCGAAATGACCATTTTGTAAAAAAAAAATAATAGTCCGGACCGAAATTGCAAGGTTTAAAAATCAAGAATCCTGATAGTGTCAATATAGTCGTCGTGGGATCAAAAGTGGATAAACTCACAACAAGATATCAAATATGAATATAATCTAACCTCATAATACTGGAAGATGTGTTGATCTCCAGCCATGCAGAGTAACGTTAACCACTCCAAACATGGTTTATGCAGTTTTGTTGATATGTGTTTTTGTATAACGTTAAATTCCGTTGGAACAGGTTCTTGAACGCCGGAATATTCGGCAACGGGGCGGAGTCATGCCACACGCTGCCGCACTCCGCCACCAGGGCCGCCATGCTGGTCAGGATCAACACCCTTCTCCAGGGCTACTCCGGGATCAGGTTCGAGATCCTGGAGGCCATAACCAAGCTGCTGAACCACAATATCACCCCCTGCCTGCCCCTCCGCGGCACCATCACGGCGTCCGGCGACTTGGTCCCTCTGTCGTACATCGCCGGGCTGATCACCGGCCGGCCGAACTCCAAGGCGGTCGGGCCGAACGGGGAGGCGCTGGACGCGGAGGAGGCGTTCCGGAGGGCCGGAATCGAGTCTGGGTTCTTCGAGTTGCAGCCGAAAGAAGGGCTGGCGATGGTGAATGGCACGGCGGTTGGGTCTGGATTGGCGTCGATGGTGCTGTTTGAGGCTAACATAATGGCGGTTTTATCAGAGGTTTTGTCTGCACAGTTTGCAGAAGTTATGCATGGCAAGCCGGAATTCACAGACCATTTGACACATAAATTGAAACACCATCCCGGCCAGATCGAAGCCGCGGCAATAATGGAACATATTCTTGATGGGAGTTCATACATAAAAGAAGCCACCAAAACTCACGAATTAGACCCTCTCCAGAAGCCTAAACAGGACCGCTACGCTCTCAGAACATCACCCCAATGGCTAGGCCCTCAGATTGAAGTGATCAGAGCATCCACAAAGATGATTGAGAGGGAGATAAACTCTGTAAACGACAACCCTTTAATTGATGTTTCCAGGAACAAAGCATTGCACGGAGGAAACTTCCAGGGTACACCAATCGGTGTCTCCATGGACAACGTCCGCCTGGCGCTGGCCGCCATTGGGAAACTAATGTTTGCTCAATTCTCCGAGCTTGTTAACGATTACTACAACAATGGCCTCCCTTCAAATCTCTCAGGCGGGCGAAACCCCAGCTTGGATTATGGCTTCAAGGGGGCAGAAATCGCCATGGCATCTTACTGCTCAGAGCTCCAGTTCCTTGGCAACCCTGTCACCAATCATGTCCAGAGCGCCGAGCAGCATAACCAGGACGTGAACTCTCTCGGGCTCATCTCGTCGAGAAAAACAGCCGAGGCCCTCGACATTCTGAAGCTCATGTCTGCAACCTATATGGTTGCATTGTGCCAAGCCATTGACCTGAGGCACCTGGAGGAGAATCTCAAGGCCTGCACTAAAAACGCAGTTAGTCAGGTTGCCAAGAAGGTGTTAACAGTGGGGAACAATGGTGAGCTCCACCCTTCCAGATTCTCAGAAAAGGATCTCCTCAAAGTCGTCGATAGAGAGTACGTGTTCGCCTACGCTGATGACCCGTGCAGCGAAAACTACCCATTGATGCAGAAGCTGAGGCAGGTCCTGGTTGATCATGCCTTGGCTAATGGTGAAATGGAGAGGAGCTCCAGCACATCCATCTTCCACAAAATCGGGGCGTTCGAGGAGGAACTCAAAGCCATTTTGCCTAAAGAAATCGAGGGGGCGAGGTGCGAGCTCGAGAATGGCAAGGCAGCCATTCCTAACAGGATCCAAGACTGCAGGTCCTTCCCACTCTACAAGTTTGTGAGGGCAGAACTAGGAACCAGTCTTTTAACCGGTGAGAAAGTCCGGTCGCCCGGGGAGGAATGTGACAAGGTATTCACAGCCATGTGTGAAGGGAAGCTCATAGATCCACTGCTGGATTGTTTGAAGGAATGGAATGGTGCCCCTCTGCCCATCTGCTAGAAGTCTTGATGGGGTAAATTAAAAGATCATAATTTCTGCTTTCTTAATCTTACTTTTGCACTGTTTGTAAACTCTCTGTTGCCACAACATATGTTTGGAAAAGCCTTAAATTCATCATGCTATGTTTGTATTAGCTTTGTTTTTCTGCATTCTTGTTGAACAAAAATGTATTATAAACATAAGAAGTCATTTATTTTTCTTAACTTCATCAAATTAAAGTCTACTGTTTGGGTTCCCTGCAATCTTGTTTTATATTTCATATAACTGATCGGTTCAAATTAAAAAGATTAAACTAACTAACTCAAGCAATTATCAAGCTAACTGTCCAATCCACTTTAGTGGTTTGCCCCACCGTATAATATACTTGACAATAGGATCAATTGCAGATAATATATATAATTTGGTATCATTGACTTTTTGTTTTAGCCCAAAATCTTTCTATAGAAATGGTCACGTTGGTGAATGGTGGCCACCAACCCCCACTACAGTCCACCAGTTCATAACAATCATTTGGCCAACTCAAAGTATGTATGTATGTTTTGCATCTTCAACTAACTATATAGAAATCCTTGAAGATGATCCACCCAACCATTATTGGATATTGGATATTGTTATGTCACAATCCCAACAACAATACATTATTGTCAAATTGAATAGTTTACTAAATGTTCACACTCAAAGTGTTATTCAAACCTAAGATTTCATATTGATAAAAAAAAATATAATTACATTTTAAACTTAAAAATTTAATATAGTTTTGTCGGATTAATTCCTAGCTGTCAATAATTCGTCCTCATGATTCATAAATTGAGTATGCTAAAATTATATATTTCTGCATACAAGGAATCTAACTCAATCTCAACTCAATTCACCGACAAAAATAAATTTTAAATGCAACTTCTTAATCACTAGACTATTTAACCTGCAATTATAATCAATTTTAGCCCTCCCTTATCCAAACTATAAAATCATAATCAAAGAAATTGTTAAAATATTGAATTCTTCAAGAAAGTGGCATTGTTATCTAGACTTGAAAGTTTCTGACTATCTAGTAGTTGGCTGCTGAAGCATTGGCTGCTACGTGTCACCTTCTCATCCCCTCTCTTTCCTCTATTCTACACCTGCCCTCTACGTATCACTCTCAAACTTTGTTTATACTAAAATTTAAACATAAATTATTATTATATATGCAAAGAGTTAGTTCCACTGTTCCTTTCTGTAGCCCCAAAGTAAAGATCAGAGCTGAAAACAACATGGCAGTCTATACAGTACTCCTTCTGAGGCCCAACCCTCCTCTCCTTGAGGCCAAACCATTATTTCCCCAAAACAACAAAAGATTAATTGCCTTGAGATTAGTTCAATGCAGAAGCAATCCAAAAAGCAAGAGCCCAGTCCTAAAAAACACAGTGGTCTCCAAAGATGAAGATTACAGGCTTTCTTGGTTAGAAGAGCTGAAAAGAGCTTACCCATCACAGGCTTGTTCAGCTCATGAATGGGAAGAAGATGATGACAAGTTTCAAGAAATGGTGGATAGGAGGTGTGTGGACAATGTGAGGATGCTGATAGTGGACTGTGTGCAGCATGCAAAGGCTGGGCATGGTGGGATGGCTCTTGGATTGGCAGAGGTTGGGTATTTCCTGTATAGGCATGTTATGAGGTTCAATCCCCAAACTCCCAAATGGTTTAATAGGGATAGGTTTGTTCTGAGTGCTGGCCATGGAAGTTTGCTTCAGTATGTTTGCCTTCATCTCGCTGGCTTTCAATCTGTTCAGGTACAAACTTGAAAATGGAAGTGATATGATAATTCTTCATTCTTGAATCATCAGTTAATATATCTTGAAAGTGTTTAAAATTTGGTGTACGTGTCAGATTGATGACCTAAAGAGGTTGTGCAAGCTTGGAAGTAGGACACCTGGTCACCCTGAGAATGTGATAACAGAAGGCATTGAAGTCACAACAGGTAAATATATGATTCAGAAAGTTAATTTGCTTCAATAATAGCTAGCCATGGATAGATGTATTTGAGGAATCTTACATGGGCAATCCAGTGATTAAGTTTTTGGTGTTGCCATAATTATATTATATTACAAGGCCCCTTAGGGCAAGGTGTAGCAAATGCAGTAGGCCTTGCCCTTGCAGAAGTGCATTTGGCTTCAAGATTCAACAAACCAGACATTCCCATTGTTGATCATAGAACGTAAGTCTACTCCAGTTCCATCTCTATCCGGTTTTTAATTTGGTTTTCAAGTGGAATCATTGTGGTTGAATGGTTGTTCAGGTACTGTATAATGGGCGATGGATGTTCCATGGAGGGCGTAACGAACGAAGCTGCATCACTGGCTGCACATTGGAAGCTAAACAAACTCACTCTGCTTTATGACGATAACCATAATACAATTGATGGTACCACTGATCTCACCGTTTCTGAAGACATATCAGCCCGGTTTGAAGCTCTGGGGTGGAACACCATTACTGTTGATAACACACAGGGAGATATGGAAGCATTAAAGAATGCACTTAACTCTGCTCATACTGAGACTCAGAAGCCTACCTTCATCAGGGTATATATATATATGTTCAATCATCATTCAGGGAGCTTTTTCATTGAAATCTGGCTATATATATGATTTGCAGGTGAAAACATGTATAGGAAAGTTGTCAAAGAAGGAGGGGACATCGAAAGCTCACCATGGTACTTTTGAGGAAGATGACGTGAAGCAAATGAAACAGAAACTTAGATGGGATAATGGGCGAGGGCCATTCCATGTTATTCCCATGCTCTACCGGTTAGTTCAATTCGATCTCCTGCAGATTTTGAGCACCATAAAACCAAATTCTTTGGCTAATGTAGTCTGTTAGTTTCAGGGAAATGAAACTCCAGGCAGAACAAGGAGAAACACTGGAGCAGGAGTGGCACTCCAAACTTTATTCTTACCAGAACAAATACCCCCAAGAAGCTAAACAATTTATAGCTCTCCTTAATGGCGGGATTGTTCCAGGCTGGGAAACTTCTTTACCGGTACGTAGTAAAGATTTAAATTTAATCTAACTTATTACCTTATAAACTCATATATTCTCTATTATTTTATCAATGTGGGACTCTTAACAATTACAATCTGAACAGAGATGGTTGATGTCTGATCCTGTGGAAGCGACACGAGGATACTCCGGGAAGTGTCTGAACCATCTTGCCAAGGTGGTTCCAGGGCTAATTGGTGGAAGTGCAGACCTCGTGAGCTCGAACCAGGCATATCTCCATGGCTATGGAGATTTCGAGCAGCCCGATTCTCCGCGGGGGCGAAATATCAGATATGGGGTTCGGGAACACGCGATGGCGGGGATTTCAAATGGAATAGCACTGCACGGGGGAGGGTTAATTCCATTTGCAGCCACTTTCCTTGTGTTCTCAGATTACATGAAGAACTCGATCAGACTCTCTGCGCTGAGCCATGCCGGAGTGATCTACATTATGACGCATGATTCAATCGGGTTAGGAGAAGACGGGCCAACTCACCAACCCGTGGAGCATCTCGCCGGCCTGAGAGCCATTCCCCGCCTCCTGGTTTTCCGGCCGTCTGACGGGAATGAAACTGCAGGGGCCTATAAGGTGGCTATCGCAAACAGAGACAAGCCAAGCCTGATGGCCCTTTCGAGACAAAAAGTGGCAGCCAACATGGACGGCACATCGGCAGATGGAGTGGGGAAAGGAGGGTACATTATAAGCGACAATTCCGGTGAAGAACTGCCGGAAATTATACTGATTGGGACCGGATGGGAGCTGTGTTTATGTGAAGAAAGCGCAGGAGTTTTGAGAAACGAAGGGAGGAGAGTGAGAGTGGTTTCTCTGGTGTGCTGGAGGCTTTTCGAGCGGCAGCCGAGGGAGTACAAGGAGGTGGTGCTGCCGTCGACGGTGAGAAAACGCGTTAGCGTGGAAGCAGGATCGCCGTTGGGGTGGAGGGAGTATGTAGGAGATGAAGGTGTGGTGATTGGCATGGATGAATTTGGAGCTAGTGGACCAGACACACATGTTTTCAAGAAATATGGTTTTACAGAGGAAAATGTTTCCAAGACCGCCAGATCTCTGCTATCAAAATAAAGTTTCAAATTGTGAGATTTTTAGTCAGCTATAAATAAACTAGACTCACTTTAAATTTTCATTAATTTGGGAACAAAATGATAATTTTATCTGTTTGTGCCACTATCGAGGCTCGAACGAGTCGAACTCAGGTGCCATCTGTACACAAAGTGCTTTTGACAATTAATTACGATTTTAAAGTTAATTTAAAAGATTTAATTAATCAAAAAAATAGTCAATGACTAAATTGATAATTTTATTATAATCAATGAATCATTTTGATAATAATTCTTTTTTGTGAGTTATAATGAACAAATTAACTTTCTAACAAGTCAGTCATGTATAAATAACTTAAACTTATTTATTTCTTGACTACTCAGTTCAAGTCAAAGAAAAGGTATTTACTCATTGCAATCTTCGAGATAATGGTTGCAATTTTCATCCATTCAAAAATACTAAAAATAAAAAGGAAGAATCATTGGGTCCGCTCAAAATTTCAGGAGAAGTTTTCGTTACCAACCACTTGTAAGATATGATGGTAGTCAACTAAAACAAATTCCTATATATCCGAAGGCTTCTCCGATCCAATCCATGTATAAAATTTGATCAAACCCTATCCATCATTAGCAGAGGTTAGCTAGCCACCCAAAATTCCATCTCTCAAGTCTCATCAATTCATCTTTACGTTTACATATTGTACAGAGCAGAGATCTAATATATATAAACAGGCCGGCCCGTTGAAATGGCAATCAAGAGAAGCGGCAGAGCCACCGCGAAGCTCTTGTTTGCAGCGGTGCTGGTGGTGGCGACACTATCCTCAAGAAGCAGCCGTGCATTGTCAAGTTGTGGAAAAGAATGCATGCCAATATGCCTGCAGGTAGAAAACGCCTGCGACAGCTCTTGTGAGATCGCCTGTGAGACCTACTGCGACCAAATCACCGGTGGATACGTCCCACATGCATATAAACCCGTAGATTAATTATTTTCCTTTTAAATTCTTTTGTTAATTACTCCCTGTATGTATGTTAATAACTTATAATAGGACAGAAATAGGTTAGGTCCATGCATCATTTGTGACAAAAATCGCCCCGCCCCTACTAAATTTGTACAAATTATATTACATTATACTGACGTGTATATATATTTTTAAGAAATTTTGACACCTACCTTATAATATATGGTTCGCTTACTTATGAAAGAGTAATTTTTACTTCCAAGCCTATATTTATCATTTTCCAAATTAAAGAAGAAATTTGATTTTTTTTAGTAATGAGAAAAATTTATAACAATAATTTGAGGATGTGAATAGGCCATGGTTCTGTGCGAAAACACTTCTTTATTCCAAGTTGAGGTCAAGGTCAAATCAAGCGAAAGAAAATGACTGCACTAAAAGCTTCCATACCCAATTTTCCTTGAGAAAGACGGATGATGAGTGTGTCAAGGCGTCAAGCACTGAAACATGTAATGCAACGTTGCAAACTCGAAAATTCCGGCTGCCAGCTACCCAAATTCTGATTACATTCCGATGTCGGAGCCCATTAACAGTCTCGGAAAACTATGATGAGTTCCTTCATCAGCAAAATTAAGGAGCGGATCATAGACACAGTCCATCCTTCGTCCAGGAAGGATACGTCTACGACCCACTCTCGAAACCCAACCTCGCCGGCAAGCCGCCGCCGCCGGAGCACAAGGAAAAGTGCTGCATCTCCTAGGACGAAGACTTGTACGAGCTCTGAAGATTCTAACACGCCGGCAGGAAAGGCGCTGGCTTTGGATGACCTTTCGGTGTCTAGAAGTGATTGCGAACGAATCATGTCGACTACGGTCGGAAATCCAAGGCCAACAGAAAAACTTGTTGATCCATGGAGAACCGGCCAAATTATGAGCGACAGTGCTACAACTTCGAGTTTCGTTATAAACTTCAACGGCGATTCCCAGTTAAGCACCTCATCCTCGGAATCACCGTGGAGAAATCCGTTTTCGCGTCTCCAGGAGAACCTCCCTGAGCAGCCAAACATCTTCGACTTCTCCGAAATCCGCGCCGCCACGGGCGATTTCTCCCTCAAGCCTTTCTCATCTTCCTCCTCTTCCACCTCGTGGCGGTGTACGATTCGAGACCGAAACGTCGTCGTGACTCAGAGGAAGTTCCGCCGTCCGATCGAAACTCCGGAGCTCATCCATCGGGTGGCGATGATATGCAGGAGCCACCACTCGAGTTTGATCCCACTCAAGGGAGTCTCAATTTCTGGGGATTATATTTACTTCGTTTACGAGTTCATTCACGGCGTGAATCTTCGTGATGCTCTGAAAAACCCGCGAAACCCTAATTTCACCGTGCTTTCGAGCTGGATGTCGAGACTTCAGATAGTCTCGGATGTTGCTTCTGGGATTGATTACATCCATAACTATACGGGTTTAGGTCACGAATTTGTTCACAATCATATAAAGGGCTCCAGCATTATAGTCATCGAACCCATGCTGAGCGCGAAAATTTGCCACTTTGCTATGGCGGAGCTTTGCGGTGAGACCGCGAAGAGAAATGTTGAATCCGAGTCGGGAATCGTGAAGTTGAAGCGTTCGAGCAGTAAAATGTTGAAGCTTGAAGGTACGAGAGGATACATGACGCCGGAATTTCAATCCTCCGGGGCTGTGACGCAGAAGTCCGACGTGTACGCGTTCGGGGTGGTGGTGCTAGAGTTGGTATCGGGACAGGAGTCTTTGAAGTACGTGTTCGACCGGGAGAGAGACGAATATGTAAGAACTTCGGTGATCTCGGCGGCGAGAGCGGCGGTGGGCAGCTTCGGAGGGGTCAGAGGATGGGTTGACAAGCGGCTGAGGGATTCGTACCCGGTGGAGGTGGCGGAGAAGCTGGTACGCCTTGCACTAGATTGTGTGGAAGATGACCCGAACCATAGACCGGATATGGGCCATGTCTCGGGTCAGATCTCGCAGATGTATTTGGAGTCCCAAACTTGGGCTGAGAATCTCGGTCTGCCTATTGACTTTACTTTGTCCCTTGGGCCCCGATAAGAGAAGACTTTTATTCATAATTAGAGATGATCACATCAGATGAATATTCTATTAATTATACTCCAGGATCAAAAGCTATTGAATTGAATATACAATTTTATAGAATTCAGCAACTATCAAATTATATTATATAATTCAAATTAAAAATTAAGTAATATTACTTTTCAAAATAAAGAATTTCGATCAGTTAGTAAACTCACCTAATATATCTATACATTTTAGATAAAGAAAAAAGTTTATTCCAATGCTAGAAAAGAAATGGAACTAAAGAATTTATTATGGTGTGCCTATACATTCCTAAAAAATGGGTATATGAAAAATTACAAGTATCCAGATGGCGCACTCACTTCTTTTGAAAAATTATCATGCCAATGAAAGCTATAATGCGACAGCCGAAACCTGTGAGGATGAGGGTGGCTATACAGCGACTCCAGTCATGAAGATCGTACCCGAAGTTCTGGAGCGCACCACAGCGTGTTATGAGCCAAACACCATAATATCTGAAGTTAAGAACATCATTTGTCAGATGTAAGTTTAGCACAGTCTCAGTTGCCAGATACCACAATCTTAAATACTTCATTTCATAAATCACATGATCATTGGTAAGTGCTATCAGCTATGGTGCAACTACCTAGCAGTATGGCTAAACAATGAATACCGCATAGAAGAGGGCATAGCGGGTACCTTTCTGCGTTTGCAATAACAAATGCCTCCAGAGCCCATTTTGGGTAGCACATATTGGAAATAATCTTCAAGAATTTACCACCTCCAGTGCGTGTTGCAACAAGAGTCAAAACAACAGGAAGCAGTACAGCACACTACACAAAGGGGAAAATATGTAGTTGATTGAGATTAGATTGAAAAAAAAAAAAAAAAACTGAACTGTAACTTTTTAGATATTTCAAGAGTGAATCAGTACTCACCAGCTGGGAAGGACCAGGTTCAAGGAAGATGGCTAATGCATAACCAATGCCCGTCACACAATATACAAGGCATAGTAAGACAATGTAATTATCCGCAAAAGAAGACCTTGGATTGGAGAAGAAATAAAACATTGAAAGATACATTGCAGGCTTAATTACTGTATTGAAGTGATCTATTGTATCTTTGGAAACAAAGTGAGCAAGACTGCTAATCCCAGAAGAACTTTCTCTCCAATATTGCAACTTGTCTAATGAAAATGTCCTCAAAGCCGCAACTTTGCACAACAAAGCTGAAAATGGCAAACATAAGCTATCAGAAATAGCCTAAATAAGCTTACTGCAACATAATGTAACTCCTATCCTATCCATCTGATTGTAGAATTCACAATTCAGTCTATCTTTGATTACGAAGCCCAATGTAGAAGTCAAGAAAACACTTGTAAAGCCCACACGGGCTTAACTTAGTGGTTCAATAGGCAGTATTCGGAACTCGCTAGCGGAAGTGTGGGGATTATGCTCAAAGTGGGCAAATCCCTTGTGCACACCAGCATTTGGCCCTATCTGCTGAGCCACTGAGTTACCGTAATTTACTTCCTTCCAAATGCTCTGTCGGGCTAGGGTGTGGGGGGACCTTGGGGCAAGAAAACACTTGTGAAGTTTTTAACTGTTTTTTTATGGTCAAGTCACTTAGCATTAAACTCATGGAAACTGGTTTCAACTTACAAACAGCAATTATTGTGTATGTGTACCCTGGTGCACCAAAACTTTCATCCTTTACTTTGGATAATGAACCCAAGCAGGCCCCAGCAACTAAAAGAATCAGATAATCCGTTGCTAGTATTCTTGCTTCTCGCAATCTTTGCTTACCCACCCTAAATATCATTTAAAACAATAAACTATTAGGATACAATATATGTCAGGTAAAGTTTTGTTAGTTTTAGTAAGAATCCTTAAAGGGAATCAGTCAAATGTTACTTATTTTACTTGGTAGGGTAGGTCAATAGAATCAAATGTTCTTGGAGTTTTTCCTGGAAAGTGGCCACAATCAGTCCTTATCATTTTATTCATTTGATTGGTGTTCCAATTTGGATGTCCAGCTCAATCAATTATCTTACACCAATTTTTGTTTAGTTACACTTGTTTCCCCAGTAAATACTCCATGCTATTTACTCATTTCAACAATTGAAGAAAGAAGCTGAAGCAGCATGGTAATTTCTCAATAACAGGAAGGAATTCAGGTAATAATTGAAGGGTATATTAAAAGGTTGTCAAAAAAAAAAGGTAGATTAAAACCAAAAACTCACAGGGTCCATTTAGGCAGGGAAGTATTTTCCTTTTTCTTACTCCCCATTTTAAGGCATTTTAGCTGTTATTTTTTTAGAAATGGTAATAAAAAACATGAAAGATTTACAAACCAAAGAAAGATTTCTTAAATGGTATTTACCTTCCAAGGTAGTACTTGTATTGCAAGAAAACATTTGGAGTTCTCCGGTTGGAAAGGTCCTCTGACCTCAAGAAATTATGCTGTATAATATCATGACGCTGCTCCACTTTGCTCCTTATGTCTTGCCATACTTCCCCGGCAAAGGATTGTTCGTCGTTGACACCAGCAGCAGAAATGCTATGATCATTACTTCTTACTTTGGCTAGCAAAATAGCATCTTCAGGAGAATTTTGTTGCATATCTTGGGGAACAGGATAGCCATTACGAAGCATCCACATAACAGGAAGCTCTTTATAATTCACACTTGAACTGGTGCTTGGTTTAACCAGTCCCTCCAAAACATCTATAAAGTAGTCTGGAGGATTAACACGTTCAGGAACATAGATACCAAGGCCTGCAAAGTAGCCTTCAACGCTGTTTGTTGAGCCATGGTAGACTGTAAGACCACCTTTTGCTAGAAGTACCAAATTATCAAACATCTTGAACAAGGTGTAGCTGAGATAGGAAAGTGACAAGAGTTAATACTCCGTAATTGACTTTACCTTCTAGTTTTATTTAAAACTAGAAAATGGTTTCTATCAAATCATACGATCCTTTAACATTTTAATTTGCAACTATACTGCACATATATCAGACAACATGATCAAAAGCCCAGCTGCAATTATTAGGAATGTATGAGTCTGAAATGGCATTGGTGCATGTTTTTTTTTAACCAAAATGCTTAAAGCTTAATCTTTTTTTTCTTACACTCCATAAGTGAATCTAGAAAAAATTTACTAAATATACTGGTAAGCATATCCGCAAAGTTTATCAGCAACTATTACCTTGGTTGGTGGACAACCATACAGATGTTAACCCCTTCAAGAGCTTCACGTCGAAGTGCTCTAAGAAGTAATTGAGAAGATGCACTATCTAATCCAGATGTTGGTTCATCCAGAAACAGGAGTGAAGGTTCCATTACCATCTCTAGCCCAACATTTACTCGTTTTCTCTGGCCTCCTGAGATGCCTCGCTTCTCCACTGTTCCAACCAAGGACCCACGAACTGACTGTAAGCCCAAGGAATCAATAACTCGCTCAAGAATAAGAACCTTATCTTTCTTTGGCAAGTCCTTTGACAACCTTCATTAAATTTAAATTGAAAGCAATTAGCAGTGAATATATATGGTAAGTTGATGAGATAAACATCTAGGAATCCACTGAGATACTACAGATCAAAGATAATGTTCTTTAAGAGTTGGTGCACAGATTTATTATCCCAAAAGGTTAATAAGCTAAGTATAGAACCAAACATGATGCCAAAGTTTTTTCTTCTTTGTATTGAGAAACAATGCCCCAGATTTGTCATGGGAACAATCAAGGTTGCTGTCTGATGTATCATTTTGACCATTCCTGAGCTCTTTTGAGGGTGAAAGGTAATCTTGGCCTACTTCAAAGAAAGAAGCACGACGGAGGTGAGAAGTAAATGAAGTGCTGGGAATGAACCAGAAATTGTGTAGTAGATGAATGTTTATGCCACCAATAGTATACTTCATGTTTTGCCTATTTTTCATACAGCATCTCTTCTGGGACAATGCTTAAAGAGAAAAATAGATTCAAATGGTACTCACATAAAGCAATAAGGTTATATGCTACCAATTGTATATTTCATGTTTTGTATATTTTTCACACAGCATCATTGCTGGGACTGTGTAAAGATCCAAATAGATTCAAATGGTACTCGCATAAAACAATACTTTAACTTGCTATATTGTATGCTCTAAGAATTTGACAATCGTTGCCACCATTTACAAATTTGAGAGACTCAATACAATACATTAATAAGAAAATAGTATAGGGGCAAGTGGTATTAGATACCTGCATCTTGCACTGAACCATAGATTCTCCTCAACCGTTAAATTTCCATGAACAATATCATCCTGCGGAACAAAGCCAACTACTTTCCTGTGTGAGTGGATTGATTCCTTCTTTCCATTTATAAGAATTGAACCAGTAATTCTACATCCAACAGTTTTCCCTGCCAAAGTTGAAAGAAAAGTAGTTTTTCCTGCTCCAGAAGGGCCCATGACAGCAGTGATATGCCCAGGTAAAATTGCCCCATTGACAGACCTCAACAGATGCTTATTTTTCCCTTTTAAAGTGACAGTTAAGTCTCTAAAAGCAATCTCAATTGTTGGTCTCTTCTTGGGTTCAATATGTGTAGCCATGGAAACTACACCTGAGAAGGTAAGGCTTTCATTCTGCTGCTGCTGAGCTTTCTCTTTCTCAAGTTGTGCATATGCATACTTGAAAATTTGGCTTCGAGTGTCGACTTGCTTCCCCTTTTGCATCTTTGTCTTTAAATTTTTATCATTGATCTCCAAATTGAATGGAGTGAATGATTTAGAATTATCAACACCTACGTCCATCATCCTCGTACAGGAACTTGGTTCAATTTCATTGACTTGAGAAGAGATAGCTACTTGTTTGGATGTTGTAGAACTAGATAGATATAGATCATAATCTGGAACCCTTTCCGCTTCATTTAAAATTTTGGCCTCTTCATCAAATGTGACCATTTTCTTGCGAGAAAGTTTGCGTGATAGTTGAGAATGTAATTCAGTTGCATGCTTTTTAACAGCCTCTTTTGCAGATTTCCACCTTGCGCGTGCCTGTGCATTCTGTTTTACACTTTTTGCTGCCAATTCTCTGGTTCTAGCACGTCGCCTTTCCCGAATACTGACAAT